GGGGGGAGAGGTGGCAGAGGTGGGGGGGTGGGGGGGGGGGAGAGCTGTCAGAGAATGTAGTGTGGATGGTGGGAGGAGAGCTGTCAGAGAATGTAGTGTGGATGGTGGGAGGAGAGCTATCAGAGAATGTAGTGTGGATGGCAGGGGAGAGGTTAGCACATTGGTTGCATGGGGGAGGCATTTTCTCAGAGAACAGACTTTGTGGAAAGATGTAGAACACCGGGTGCAGTGTTTAGTGGTGTGGACATTGCTGGGAGAACAGTGTGTGGTCGGGATGTAGACGCTGTAAATAATATCTCTACCAGGATGTGGTTATTATTGAGGGTACAATGTGTGTTTTGGAGACCTTTCAGCATTGCAATGTAAAACTCTGGAAGAGCTTCATATCCTTTCCTAATACAGTCATACATTCACATAATTCTCCGGAAGTGAAAGTTACAATCTGGTATAAATCTGTGCTGTGAGCGGCTGGTCAGGGCTGATTGCTCAGATCTGTGCTCTACTCTATGTACTGATCACTTACAGGAAATGTTGCAGAATCAACGGTGAGAAGAGGAAGTTTCACAGGGTTATTCACTAAAGGGTGAAGAGTTTGGAGAAGGCCGGAGAAGGGAACAATCTAGGACAACGTAGCTGACCTGGAACGTGAGCTGAATTGGAGAATTTTTCCAAATCAGATATGTTGTCCTAGATTGTTCCCTTCTCCGGCCTTCTCCAAACTCTTCACCCTCCTGTGAATAGACCCTGACAATGTCTTTTGATGAAAATAAGAATATAAATTATTCATGAAATAGTCGCTGTACAAGAATAATTTATCCTGTGTGTAAATGTACTCAGAAGGGACATGACAGCTATTAAATAAACGAGCCCGGTGTATATAATATATATTTGTGGACATTATAATTTGGTGCATTAATTCGATTTGCTATTCATTCTTTTAGTTTTGATTCTTCTAAACCTTGATACAGCTACGCCCCATAAATCTAGACCCTCAGACTCACAAATGAACTGTAGGTTCACCCTCTGGCGATGAAGCAGCATGAATCACACCTAACACTTACACACCAGGTGATGGGGTAAGGAGGGAGGGCCAAGAAGGCCCAGAAATTCATCAGACTCTCTCTCTATTCTTGGGATTGATCTGCATTTTCTTGCTGGACCCCGGAGAAGTTCTGCCTGCCAAGAACAATCTATGAAGGCCAAGCTGTATTATTGCAGTGCTATCAGTTCATGTCACATGATCTACTGTCTGGAATACTCAATCATTAACAAATATAACAGCCTATAGCACCCACTGTCACAGATTCGGCCGGCGAGCCTCCTTGCTCCCGCGACGTGCCGTCTCTCGAGTGACGTCACGTCGCGCTCCTCCCACGGGGCGTGGCCCCACACGTAAAACTTCAGCTGTTCCGATCACTCGGCGTTCCCTTAATTTGGTTCATCGAGTGACGGACAGCGAACCACGCGACTCTCCGTGATAGCCGAACCTTCGGCCTCCCTGCAGCCCGTGGACGACTCTGCTCTGACACCGGCTCCACATTGGAACCCGGACACCTCATTGCCGCACAACCCAAGCTGACCCAGCTGCCTGCCGCCATCTAACTGCAAGTAACTAGCTGTGGTGACAAGAACAGCCTACTAACCGCAGTCACGAGTAGCCGTGATACAGACCTGTCGTTCCTGCACTTGCAGGCATATGAACTGTTGGAGCCTAGCTCCATTATAACTTCTGGAGGCATTAGCTGGCATAACTATTGGATTGATGCTATATGATTGACTTACAACTAAGGAGAACCTTAACTCTTGCATAACTATTACTGATGATTCATGCTATAGGATTGACTTACAACTAAGGAGAACTTAACTCTTGTATAACTATTATTGATGATTGATGCTATAGGATTAACATACAATTAAGGAGAACTCTTAACGCTAGTTGCGGCTTCATGCAATGGAGTAGTACTGCTGATTAGTAATTGTAAGTGTGGCGGGAAGGTTAGGAGTGCCTTGTTTGCAATTGCCGTGTCCACCACCAGTTAGTACAGCAGCTCTGTCTGCTCCTCCATCGGGGCCTCCCTGTATCTCCCTTGCCAACCCACAAACAGTTATTAACCTCTATTACATAACTAAATCCTACCCTTACCTACTCCCAGGTGGTATATGATGCCCACGGTAATCCCGTCGCACTGAGTGTAATGGGATCCGCAGACTGAACCACCTCCTATCACGCCACATTCTGTGACATCCGCAGCTGGAATCCAATCCACCCGGTGCGCTGTGACATATTAAGGGAACCCGTATAATGGATCCAGCGGATCTTGCAGCCCATGTAGTGAACCTCACGCAACGCCTGGACACCCTGACCACTAGGGTAACCGAACTGCAAGAGGAGAACCAAAGACTACGCCATTACATGGTGGGACATGTAAACAACCACCCTGACCCCAGAGAAGGACCGGAACCCAAGGTTTCTCCTCCAGAAGTCTTCTCTGGAAACAGGAGACACTTCCGGGAGTTCGTCAGCTCCTGTCAGCTCATGTTCGATCTCAAGCCACGAACATATGCCAATGATGCCTTAAAAGTCAGATCACTCATTTCCTTCCTACGTGGAGAACCCCGGGCTTGGGCCGATACTTACCTCGAAAATAATGACCCCATCCTGCAGTCCTTACCGGATTTCTTACATGCCATGTCTCTCCTCTATGAAGACACAGGTAAACAGCTCACAGCGGAAACCACCCTCCGCAGCCTAAAACAAGCATCCAGGCCGGTTGAGGACTACATTGCCCAATTTAAACATTGGTCCCGGGACACCGAGTGGAACGACATTGGGCTCCGGAACCAGTTCCGCTTAGGCCTATCCGAATCCCTCAAAGATGAGCTTGCACGCATTGAACTGCCTGCCACCCTCGAGACACTCATGCTACAGTCAATTGACATAGACCGTCGCCTCCGCGAGAGACGGGCGGAAAGATCCTCCGGTCATTCTACACCACCTCGTAGGTCTCCATCCATACCACCAGAAGAAGCCATGGAGGTCGGTTCAGTTAGAGGACATCTGTCCCAAGGCGAGAGGCTCCGCCGGCGCCAGAAGAACTTATGTATGTACTGCGCTGCTCCAGAACATACCGTGGAATCCTGCCCCCTGGTCCGGAGGAAGACCGAAGGTAAGAAGTCACACCTTTGCAAGATATATCCTTCAAGACCTACTCCAAATAATTACATCTTTGTTTCCTTGATCCTACAGTGGGAGCAAAACCGAATCCTCACTGAAGCCATGGTCGACTCTGGCTCCTGCGGGAATTTCATTGATGTAACCTTAGTCAATAACAATAAAATCCCTACCCTTGCAAAGGATTCTCCTCTCCTGGTCTCTTTTATTGATGGTACCAATCCATCCACAGGTCCCATATCCAAAGAGACACCACCCCTCAGGATATCCACACCACAGAATCATACGGAGTACATCACCTTTGAGGTGATTCCATCTCCCCACTTTCCCGTAATCCTTGGGTTGCCCTGGCTCAAGTTACACCAGCCCACATTCTTATGGCCACAGAACACTGTCAAGCTTGATTCATTGTACTGCAGGGAGACCTGTTACCCTCACTGCCCTGTTTTACAGGTTGTGGCCACATCAGTTCCCCCGCATTACAGGGAATTTGCAGATGTGTTCAGTAGTAAGACCGGAGCAGACACCTTACCCCCTCACAGACCCTATGACTGCCCCATTGACCTACTTCCTGGTAGTTCTATACCTGTGGGCCGCATTTATCCACTCTCCGCACCAGAGCTACAACACTTAAAGGAGTATCTAGAAGCTAACCTAAAAAAGGGGTTTATCAGCCCTTCGTCCTCTCCTGCCGGGTCTGCCATGTTCTTCGTAAAAAACAAGGACCAAAGCCTTAGACCGATTATTGATTATAGAGCCTTAAACCGAATCACTGTAAAAAACCGGTACCCCCTCCCGCTGATTCCCGAACTCATAGAGAGGCTCCGTACCTCCAAGATCTTCACAAAGCTCGATCTAAAAGGGGCGTATAACCTCATCAGAATTCGCTCCGGGGACGAGTGGAAAACAGCCTTTCGCACTAGATACGGCTTGTTTGAGTACAATGTCATGCCTTTCCGGTTGTGCAACGCCCCTGCAACTTTCCAGGCATTTATCAATGACATCTTCCGGGACCTCCTTGATGTTTGTGTTGTAGTATACTTGGACGATATTCTTATTTTTTCTGACAACTTACAGGAACATCGGAAGCATGTCAGGTGGGTTCTATCTCGCCTCAGGGGCCACAATCTGTACGCTAAACTGGAAAAATGTACCTTTGAGTCGCACACTATTCCTTTCCTCGGGTACGTCATCTCACCTAACGGTATTGAAATGGACAGCTCCAAGGTGGACTGCATCCTGAAGTGGCCTGCTCCCAATTCCCGGAAGGCATTACAGAG